CCCCAGGGCCGTGCTACTGACTCAAGTGTCTTTAGGCTATTCCCAAAGGAGGGTTATTAACATGTTCTTATGCACAGCAGAATGGTAAATGGGGCTGATGTATCAATGTCATGCTCATACTGTGCCGGAACAACATAGTGGGAACTGCCTTTTCTTTCCACATCTTTACTATCGTCATTTTTTCCTCTACTTTTTTTTGGGTATGTTTGCCACTCTCTTGTGAACTGCTGTTTCCAGGTTGCTTTGATAGCCGAAGCAGACTTTGTGTTGTTGAGGCTAGAGAGGTGAGCAGACTTAAGTCTGATTCCCTGTAAGGACTTTTCTGTTGACACCAACCCTTGACGCTCATATGACCTTATGCAGTTGCATTTCCGTAAAATCTTATATAGTAGATGGTTGGAGGGTGCTCTGGTGTGGTTTGCTTTTTCTTTCCTATCAAACATCTGTTCGTCCTTATCTCCCCTCCTTTTTTGTGTTTGTTACTCTCTTGTAACACCTCTAATTTTCGGCACTTAAATGGCCTTATTATGTTGCAAGTGCCGTAAAACTCTGACAAAATGTAAAAACGGTACTAAAACTGGAGTGTTGTGTGTCCGTGTGTCCCCCAGCTTCACTACAACCAGCTGCGGGAAGAACTGTCCAAACTGAAGCCTCCCCCGGACCTGGAGCTGGACAGTGAGCCCAGCCAGATGGAGGCGGAGGCCAGGCCGTATTCCACCAGCTCCCAGCCCGGCCACACAGCACCGGCCGTTACCACAGCAACAGGGACTGCTGCTGCTGCTGGTGGTGATGGTGGCAGTGGGGAGGATCAGTGGGGGGAGAATTCTTCCTCGTCGTTGTTGTTGTCGTCGTTGGGTGATGTGAAGAAGGTGGATTTGTCGGAGGGCGATGACTTGTTCTTGGACGGTGGGGGGAGTGCGGGGGCCGGGGGGAGTGGTCACACTAGTGTGCCTGGCGCGGGGGTGGACTCGTCCAGTGTGGGGCTTGAGTTGATGAGCTCTGTCCTTCAGGATGAGTTGACCCAGACCCTCTTTGATATGGACTCTCACCAGCCCTGGGTCTAGTGGTGGATCATTCCCTTGTGGCACTTGGGTCGAGGGGTGGGTGGGTCTAGTGGTGGGTCAGAGGGCTGGTTAGTGAGTCTAGTGGTGGGTCAGAGGGCTGGTTAGTGAGTCTAGTGGTGGGTCAGAGGGCTGGTTAGTGGGTCGAGTGGTGGGTCAGAGGGCTGGTTAGTGGGTCTAGTGGTGGGTCAGAGGGCTGGTTAGTGGGTCTAGTGGTGGGTCAGAGGGCTGGTTAGTGGGTTTCTCCCTCACAGTCTCTGGGTAGGGGCACTAGTGGGTGGCTCACTAATGGTACCTGGCTCAAGAAGAAATGTGGATGAGGACAAGGAGGATTGAGTAGAAAGAAAAGAACTGAGGAAGAGGAGATTGTGCTATGTCTATGGCACTGGGCCTGGGCAGTCTTCAAAGGTGACATTGGCCATTATTTTTACGCTTCAAACTTTTGACATTGACATGAACATTTCCCCCAACAAGTGCGTGCATCGACTGATAGTTTGTTTGTTTGTATGTGTGAGGAAAAGCGGGAGATGGGAGGCTTGTCTTGTATATGCAGACCTGGGACTTGCTGTTTGTGTGTGGAACTGAAGAGTGATATGACATGTATCCATCACACACACATACACACAGACACACATGCGTGCGCACACGCATACACACATGTGCGCCACATGCGCACAAACATACACACACAAACTCACACCCGCGCGCGCACACTCACACACACATTGTTTTGTTCTGTCCAGTGGTAGGTTCACAGTGTGACAAGTTTGTGTGTGTCATGGGTTAGTTCCCACCTGAGTTGTGTGTGTGTGTCGTGTGTGTGCCAGATAATGTGCTGGTGGTGAGCGTGAAGGGAGAATGTTAGTCCTGTATACCAGTGGCTTTCAAGATTGGAATTCACAACTCCGCTGGGTCTGTGGGCAGGGGAAAGAGTTGGTGGTGACCTTTCTTTCAACGAACGTCCCATCATAACCGCACGCCCAAGATATGATCGGTGGTGTAATGTGTACATCTAGGACTTTTTTCATATACATTATATATAAATACATATTGTTATTGTTATCTGACTGTGAGTGTGGTCGTGTGTTTATGAGTTTGGTGGTGTGTATGTGTTTCTGTGTAGTAGTGTGCATGGTGGTGTGTGCACTATTTTGTCTGTGAGCATGTTGGTAGTGTGTGTGTGTGTGTGTGTGTGTGTGTGTGTGTGTGTGTGATGAGGTATTACCGGCTGTGATGTGGTACAGGAGCAGACTGTCTGTGTGGGAACAGCACCAGGACAGATAGGGCTGTGCTGTCCAGCACTGAGACTATAAAGGAGAGAGAGGGGAGGGGAGTCGTTTGTTTTCTATCTTTCTCAATTATTTTTCTTTGTGTTTACGATGAAATGATTTGTTCCTGGGTGTGATGATGAAGCTATGTACAAGTTCTCTGTGTCATGTGTTGATTTCAGGTTCTCTGTGTCATGTGTTGATTTTAGGTTCTCTGTGTCATGTATTGATTTCAGTTTGTCTGTGTCATGTGTTGATTTCAGGTTCTCTGTGTCATGTATTGATCTCAGGTGCTCTGTGTCATGTGTTGATTTCAGGTTCTCTGTGTCATGTGTTCCAGGTTTTCTGTGTCATGTATTGATTTCATGTTCTCTGTGTCATGTATTGATTTCATGTTCTCTGTGTCATGTATTGATTTCATGTTCTCTGTGTCATGTGTTGATTTCAGTTTGTTACACGTTATATATATAGGAACTGTCTGGTGTGTTACACGTTATAGGAACTGTCTGGTGTGTTACACGTTATAGGAACTGTCTGGTGTGTTACACGTTATAGGAACTGTCTGGTGTGTTACACGTTATAGGGACTGTCCTGTGTGTTACACGTTATAGGAACTGTCCTGTGTGTTACACGTTATAGAGACTGTCTGGTGTGTTACACGTGTGTTACACGTTATAGAGACTGTCTGGTGTGTTACACGTGTGTGTTACACGTTATAGAGACTGTCTGGTGTGTTACACGTGTGTGTTACACGTTATAGAGACTGTCTGGTGTGTTACACGTTGTAGAGACTGTCTGGTGTGTTACACGTTGTAGAGACTGTCTGGTGTGTTACACGTTGTAGAGACTGTCTGGTGTGT